AATATTGACTCTGTACTCTACGTAAAGAAATATGTTTCAGGCTCTAAATGTATGACAGTTCTTAATCAGTGAGGATCTTATGGCTGAGACATAGCTCAAAAAGTTTTCAATTCATCTGAAGCTTCACCTAGAAGTAACTATTTATAAATCAGAAAATGTGTACAATTTTTTTCACAGCAATGTGAAAATATAATACTGCTCTATGTAAAATTACACAGAAACTTCTGAGGTTGTTTAAAAGACTTTAAAATACCACATGATGGGATTCAGGAAAACCGGTTACCCAGACTTGAGTCCTGGAGGCGGGAAGTACAATGCCTGCACTTCAAGGGAGGGGTTTGTGATATTGACTGTTTGGAGTGACATCTAAACTGTCATATCTGGGCACCTCTGCAAAGACAGTGATATTGTGTGAATGATGGTGAAAGTGTTTTTTTTTTTTTTTTTTTGGCTGTCTGCCAGCTTAGTTCATATTTCGCGGCACTCAGGTGCTGCCCTCTCTAGGCCTGCCCAGGTCAGTGGGATGCTGGTCCCACTCGCTCACTCACTCAGAGGCCCAGACTCAGACAACAGTTCTACTCCCTCTCTCCCTAGTGGGCATGGCCCTCCCGGGCCATGGGCACAAACACACAAGCCTGTGTACCCACCACGACTTTGGCAAAGCAAGAAGAACCCTCCGCAGCCCTATAATTGACTCCTCGCCACTGCATCACACCAATAAGCTCGTTCACATTGGTGGGAAGCGGTGGCCGCAGCAAGTTGTGTTTGCCTGGAGAGATGAAGGAAATAGAATGAAGTTGTGTTCACTTCATCACCCTACACTAGAAACATCCATCTCTCAACGAGTTATCCTGATGTCGTGTCTGCACATTTCAGCATCCAGACACAGGTACAAGCAGGATCTAGCCAAAATTTGCTGAATTTCTTCGAGAATTGTAGGTGACCCCACGCTGTTTTTCAAGTCACGTGTTCAGCATCACTTGTATGTTGCTGTTGGTTTTTCAGCTCTGCACGGCTGTTTCAGCAAGTCAGAGGTGAGTTTGTGGTGATTTCTGCGTCCAGTGTGAGTATCTCGCCGTGTTGTGGGTGGGAGAGGAGGAAGTGGCCAGATCCTCCCTCGTCATACACTCACCCACGCTCCTCGCCACCACACTACCATACACCACCATGCCATCACTCCCTCTGCTGTGTTTTCTGCTGTTTTTCGTGTGAATTCTTTGCCAGAGCTGTGTATCCGAATGCCCGAGGCCACTCAAAGCCACGTGGATCACTAAGCCACGTGGATCAGCAAGCCACGTGGATCAGCAAGCCACGTGGATCAGCAAGCCACGTGGATCAGCAAGCCACGTGGAACAGCATGCCACGTGGATCCCAACGCCATGTGGGGTGTGGACGAAGCCACGTGGACCTACGAGCCACGTGAGTTACCAAGCCAGACGTCCCAGGCCACATGCTGTGGTCTGCTGCCCGCATCACATTGACGTCACCGACGATGCTGCCCGACTTCATGACGTCACAATGTCTGCCTGACATCACCTCGAGATGTCTGCTGACGTCACCTCGCGACGTCACGCCTGACATCACATGATGTCACATCGAGTGTTTCAGTAATTATGTCAGTATTGTCGAGAAGATTGAGAGAAGATATATGTCGTGTTAATTAATTCCTCTCCGGCCAGTGTTCTCACATGTTAGTGTATGGCTTAGTGTCAATTTTGTGCACAGAAAAGCATCATTTGCTAGTTTATGCCATGTTATACCGCATGTACCAAGAGTGTGTGTGTAAAGTTTTCCTTGTGTCCAGTGTGGTCTTGAGCCCAGACCAGTGTGTAGCACCACTGTGTTATTGTCACCCGGTGTGACCAGCACGTTTGAGAGCTGATATTAGTCAGCCCTGTGCATACGAGCCCCTTGTACAGAAAGCTCTTATGCTCGTTGCTCATAGATGTTCTGCAGAATCGTACCTGCTACGATTCCCATCGAGATTTGTTTCACTTCACCTCCAGACCGTCAGAGTGTAGTTATATGTAGAGAAACAAGTCTGGGGATGCTTAGACTAACCTCTGCTATAACTCCAACTGCCGAGAGAATGACACTCGTCAAGCCGCAGTTAGCCCTGTCAGTAGGTGCTGTGTCAGCCTCGTATCACAAGCTTCAGTGAGCTCCTGCACAAAGATGATGTCACTCTGACTGCTAGCTCACTCACTGCAGTCTGGTGTATGATGTTACGACTCCCAGATGTTTTGCCCAGTCGTCTCTGCCACGACTCGCTCCACGACTTATTCCACGCTCGCCAGCAATGACAGCCCAGCGACAGTAACAGTCGAGAAGTATCCTCCCGAGTCGCTTGCCAGAAGTCCTGCCCAGTTGCCGAGTTTTGACGACGCCTCACTCGAGGGCACCAGCATGTCGTGCCCCAGGTTGAGTGAAACCTGCAGTGACTCCTACAATGACTGCTTCACCGTTCTAGAGGAGACCATAACCCATTACATCACAGCTCAGCCGCAGCGATGTCTCCTGTGTTGCAGTATCTGTCCAGACACAGGAAGACGTACAGTGATGCCCTTCGATGCTCACTGCCTATGACCACGATGTTTAGCACACCCCACGGTTTTTTTCTTCCCTCCCTGTAGGAAGTTTTTTTTTCCCATGTCCATATATATATACGTTTTTTATTTTGTGTTCTGTGCCCTGTTCCTACGAGAGAGAGCCCGAGTTTTTTTTTACCACCAGTATTGTCGCGTCGGGGCAACGCGAGGTAGGTGGCCGAGCAAATGTAGACAGCCTGTACTGTATGCACAGACAGCCTATGCTGTCTGCCGGCTAAGTTCATATTTCGTGGCACTCAGGTGCTGCCCTCTCTAGGCCTGCCCAGGTCAGTGGGACGCTGGTCCCACTCGCTCACTCACTCAGAGGCCCAGACTCGGACAACAGTTCTACTCCCTCTCTCCCTTGTGGGCATGGCCCTCCCAGGCCATGGGCACAAACACACAAGCCTGTGTACCCACCATGACTTTGGCAAAGCAAGAAGAACCCTCTGCAGCCCTATAAGTGACTCCACACCTCTGCATCACACCAATAAGCTCGTTCACAGGAGACGGCCATGTTGAAAAAATATATATATTTTCAACACTTTCACCATCATTCACACAATCACTGTCTTTGCAGAGGCATTCAGATATGCCAGTTTAGATGCCACTTCAAACAGCCAATATCCCAAACCCCTCCTTTAAAGTGCAGGCATTGTACTTCCCACCTCCAGGACTCGAGTCCAGCTAACCGATTTCCATGAATCCCATCACAAAATATTACCCTGTTAAAAAAAGTGATTATGTGTGAGTGAGGTGAAAGTGTCGAATGATGATGAAAGTATTTTCTTTTTTGGGGCTTTTCTTTCTTTTTGGGTCACCCTGCCTCGGTGGGAGACGGCAGACTTTAAAATAAATATACATGTGTTGTATATATATATATAAATATATATATAAATATATATATTATTATATATTATATAAATTTAAAAAAAATATATTATATATATATATATTATATATTTTATATATATATATTTTTTTTTTTTTTTTTTTTTTTTTTTTTTTTCTCAACAAGTTGGTCGTCTCCCACCGAGGCAGGGTGACCCAAAAAAAGAAAGAAAATCCCCAAAAAGAAAATACTTCATCATCATTCAACACTTTTCACCACACTCACACATTATCACTGCTTTTGCAGAGGTGCTCAGAATACAACAGTTTAGAAGCATATACGTATAAAGATACACAACATATCCCTCCAAACTGCCAATATCCCAAACCCCTCCTTTAAAGTGCAGGCATTGTACTTCCCTTTTCCAGGACTCAAGTCCGACTATATGAAAATAAACCGGTTTTCCCTGAATCCCTTCACTAAATATTACCCTGCTTACACTCCAACAGATCGTCAGGTCCCAAGTATCATTCGTCTCCATTCACTCCTATCTAACACGCTCATGCACGCTTGCTGGAAGTCCAAGCCCCTCGCCCACAAAACCTCCTTTACCCCTCTTTCCAACCCTTTCGAGGACGACCCCTACCCCTCTTTCCTTCCCCTATAGATTTATATGCTTTCCATGTCATTCTACTTTGATCCATTCTCTCTAAATGACCAAACCACCTCAACAACCCCTCTTCTGCCCTCTGACTAATGCTTTTATTAACTCCACACCTTCTCCTAATTTCCACACTCCGAATTTTCTGCATAATATTTACACCACACATTGCCCTTAGACAGGACATATAATATAATATAATATAATATAATATAATATATATAATATATATATATATATATATATATATATATATATATATATATATAATATATATATAACGTATATATATATATATAATATATATATATATACGTATATATATATATGTAGTAGTAGGTTGGTAACAGCAACCATCCAGGGAGGTACTACCGTCCTGCCAAGTGAGTGTAAAACGAAAGCCTGTGATTGTTTTACATGATGGTAGATTGCTGATGTCTTTTGTCTGTCTCATAAATATGCAAGATTACAGGCATGTCTTGCTACTTATACTTACACTTAGGTCACACTACACATACATGTACACATTTATTATACACACTCATCTGAGTTTTCTTTGATTTTATCTTAATAGTTCTTGGTCTTATTACTTTTCCTTTTATATCCATGGGGAAGTGGAATAAGAATCTTTCCTCCGTAAGCCATGCGTGTTGTAAAAGTCAACTAAAATGCCGGGAACAATGGCTAGTAACCCCTTTTCCTGTAAAGATTACTAAAAAGAATAAGAAGAAAATTGTTTTCTTTCTTTTTTGGGTCACCCTGCCTCGTGGAGACGCCGACTTGTTGAAAAAAAAAAAAAAAAAAAAAAAAAAAAAAAAAAAAAAATATATATATATATAATATATATATATATACGTATATATAATATATTATATATATATATACGTATATATATATGTATATTATTTTTTTTTTCCACACTGTACAAATGCAAAACTAAAGAACTACTTGTCATATGCACATCACTCTCTCTCTACATCTTGTACAGGAAATGGATAAAACATTTGTGATCTGTGCATTAAAGGATAATTCCTCTATGTAACCTAATCACAATTCCATGATCAACAGCTAAGTGTTTGTCCCTAGGACCGGTACATGTCAACATATTCATCTTCCATTGGATGAGTTTCCCCAACTATTACAAGTGTGTGTAAGGGGTCACCAAGGTTAATTTCAGCCATCTCCTCCAATGTACAAGCTTTCAGCTGCTGTGTCCTAGTGCCTATCCTGGCCATCCCTATTACTAACTGATCTGGGGTTAGAGGAGTTGGCCTTCCTTCTTCTGCCCTATTCCTTATGACATTAAGTATCTGTGTGGCAGCCTGTGATACTGTCATGAACCTTGGGGGATCATATATCTTTTGACCCTTGACCATATTTTCCACAGACTGTTCTTTAACCTTAATATCTAACAAGCACAAGGTGTGCCAGCCATTTTCCAGATTACTGCAAATTTTATCATAATAACTATCTGGCTGCCAACCATCTTGCCAAAACGGTATAGACACCATCTCTCCAAAAGAATAAAGCTGCAGCCCACAACAACCAGCAGCATTCAAAATCGAGGCATTGTGTACAATATTAATGGGAATGTTTTTATCTAATGCACGTACCACAAGATCTGTGTGGGTTGTTGCACTAAATGGGTCCCCAATGACCAAAAATGCAACGTCTCCATCTTGAGTACTATGTAGGATCTCTTCTGAATTTTGCTCCACCATTTCTCTGTCCGCAACAATAATCTTCCTGCAAAACAGTGCTTCCATTGCCTCAACACCACCTGCCATGACAGATGTGTACCCTTCCAGGTACACCCATGATGACTTTCTAATGATGTCAAGGCCTTTTAATGTCACATCATCTGAAGAAAGAAAAACATTTTAAGGTGCATAATTATTTTTTTTAAATATTTATTATACACTGCCATTATCACAACTTAACCCCTTAACTGTCCAAACATACATCTACATTCTTACCACTAGCGCTCCAAACATAGATCTAACTGTCCAAACGTAGATCTATGTTTGGACAGTTAAGGGGTTTAATACTTTCTTAATTTATATATAATTCTTATATTCTGAAAAAGACATTTCTCAACTTGTGGGTAATCAACCAAAACAAGAATTAGCTGTCAAGGCTTCTCAAAAGTTTACAGAAATTTGGTACATTAAACTGCTTATTTCTGTCCCTGAAAGCAGTCTTTGAATTTTCAGTAATGTAAAGTTTTTGCTTTTATCCCTGCAGATCTTTCTTTCTTTCAACAGACCGGCCATATCCCACTGAGGCAGGGTGGCCGAAAAAAGAAGTTTCTCGTTTTATCTTTAGTAATGTACACAGGAGAAGGGGTTACTAGTCCCCTTGCTCCCGGCATTTTACTTGCCTCTTATGATACATATGGCTTACGGACGAAAAATTCTGTCCCACTTCCCCATGGAAATAAACAAAAGCAAGAACTAGTAAGATAGAAGAAAACCCAGAAGGGTGTGTATATATATATACTTGTTCATCTATATGTAGTGTGACCTAAGTGTAAGTAAAAGTAGCAAGATGTACCTGAAATCTTGCACGTTTATGAAACAGAAAAAAGACACCAGCAATCCTACCATCACGTAAAACAATTACAGGCTTCTGTTTTACACTCACTTGGCAGAACAGTAGTACCTCCCTAGGCAGTTGCTGTCTACCAATCTACTACCAAGGTCCCCTCATATGCTTTGTTAAGAAAGTCATGTTTAATTTTCAGTATTGTGGCTCATCCAAAGTAGAAATGAATGATCACTGTACTATATGGAATACATCATGAGAGGTATTTAGTGGTGTTGCAATGCTTACATTTAATGCATTAAAGCTCATCTCAACACATACGCATTTCTTCCTTCATGCAGTGGAATTACATTTTGAAATTAAAGAATTGCGAGCTACATACAAATGCTATGTATAGAAATTTTCTTTAGCATTTTTAGAGAAAAACTAAGTTATATACATGTGAGATTGGGAGAGTACTTTGAACTGGAGTGTTATGTAAATAACAAGATGGAGTAAATGACACTTTATTAACGACAACCTTTAGCCCAGTGGTCTTACCAAGTCAGTAGAGAATGCATAAATAAATAAAATAAACAATACCTGTTGTTGACTAAAATTTGGCATGGCCATGGGCTCATTAACCATTGCAGTCTTGGCCAACCTCAACATGGAAATGGTGGCAGTCGGATGATTCAACATTATCATCTCAACTAACAGTTTGGCTGTGGTATGTCGATGACATCTTCATTATCACACCCAGAAGATTCAACCTTGACACCTTCTAGAGAAAGATCAATGCAGCTGAACCTTCCACCCAATTCACCTTGGAGGAGGAACACGACGACACACTCCCCTTCTCATATGTTGTGCTCTGCAAATCAGATACACAGCTGAAATTCAAGGTTTATTGGAAACCTTCTAATCAACATGACCTTGTCCATTTCATGTCACATCATGATGCTGAAACAAAGAAGGGTGCTGATATCTTTCTTCCTCAGAGCCTGCAGCCTAAAGTTTCTAGAAGTATCTCTTATTGCTGTTTTTAACACTACTGAACAGAAATCAAGAAGTCACAGCATCACCAATCTAGCCTATTTGATCCTTGACTAAGCTTCATCACACCCACACTGCAACAGAGCAATCAAGTGACCTCACTTCCACAAGGCTTAAACCTGGCCTGACATGTGCATAAACTTGAGCAAACATTGGTTATACCTAACCTGAGTCTCACATCTAACCTGTTACCTCTGCCATATACTGTTTCATGTACCCTATGCATCACTGTTGTGAACAAAGACCCAAGATTAATGTGTTTCCTATTAAAATGTTGTAAGTGCTTGTACACATGTCCTTTCTTCATGTTGCTGGCATCATATACCTAATTATTACCATACAGTGGGTCTTTAGAATCTGCCCTTTACAGAACCTCTTAACACAGAACCAATACTGCTTAACTCTTTCAGGGTCCAGAGGCCAAATTTCAAAGTGTGCACCAGGGTCCAAGAATTTAAAAAAAAAAAAAAAAATTATTTTTTCTTATGAAATGGTAGAGAATCTTTTTCTGAAGGTAATAAAACAAAAAGTATGAAATTTGATGGAAAATTGACGAAATTATGCTCTCGTGAATTTTGATGTGTCAGCGATATTTACGAATCGGTGATTTTGCCGACTTTGATTCCCATTTTAGGCCAATTACATTATTCCAGTCGACCAAATTCTTAGCTATTTCACTAGTATTACTTCTATTCTATCGACCGAGCACAAGAAATCGCCAAGTCAACTGTTTCAACTACAAAATAAAGTGATCGGAAATTGGTAATTTGGCCAATTTAACAAAAAGTTCAAAATATTCCAATTTCAAAATAGGGTCCAGAATAAACAATGTAGGTATTCGTGGCACTAAACTAACATTTCCTCTGTTCATTAGTTACGTTTTGAGGCTTTACAAATGAATTACATTTCGATTTTTTATTCACATAATGAATTTTTATTCAAACCAAAAAATAGAAGATTTACTGTTATGCAATATTGTAATAATTGTATAAATATCATCACCACATTTATGAATGTATATTAGACCCACCAGCTGACTTGTATTAGACGTGTGAGGTAGTTTGTTTACTCTTGAACATCGGCAAAAATTTAACATTTCCGCTACTTTGAGCTCACTTTTAAGCCATTTCCAGTGCTAAAACCAATCAAAATCATCTCTATTTCTGTAATGTGTCTTCCATTCTATCAAATGAGACCAAGAAATCGCAAATACAACTATAAAAAACATACGAAAAAACACTGCAAAGTCGCTGTTTTAATCGAAAATCACGGTCTGTTTTTTTTTCTCATAATACACTGTGTGCTGCAGGATTTGTTTTATGTGGTGCACACATACCACATAGATGTATTCTCTCATATCTAGGCCCAAATTTACCACTCACAGCTTATCAGAGTGAGCTGAGCTCATGGCGTAGATCTACGGTTTGGACCCTTAACGTAAAGCCGTAGATCTACGGCACGGACCCTGAAAGGGTTAAAATAGCTAAACATTTAGTTTTCACCATACCTACAAGTTATCCACAGCCAAGAGTCAACATAATAGTCTGGTATACATCCTACAGTGCTTCCTCACCATAGATAAGAGTAAGGTGATGAGGGTATCAAACGAGTTAGGAAAAGAAAAACTGAATATTACATTGGATGGAGGGAGTATCGAAGTGTGTTCAGATATTTGGAAGTAGACTTGTCAGTGGATGGGTTTATGAAGAATGAGGTTAACCATAAAACTGACGAAGGAAAAAAGGTGGGTGCATTGAGGTATCTGTGGAGACAGAACACACTATCCATTGAGGAAAAGAAGGGAATGTATGAGAGTATAGTAGTACCAATACTCTTATATGGGTGTGAAGTATGGGTTGTAAATGCTGTAGCAAGGAGGAGGGTGGAGGCAGTGGAGATGTTGAGTCTAAGGGCAATGTGTGCTGTAAATATTATGAAGAGAATTCGAAGTGTGGAAATTAGGAGGAGGTGTGGAATTACTAAAAGTATTATTCAGAGGGATGAAGAGAGGTTATTGAGGTGGTTTGGTCATTTAGAGATGATGGAGCAAAATAGGATGATTGGACGGTGTATAAATCTGTAGTGGAGGGGAGGAGGGATAGGGGTCATCCTAGGAAAGGATGGAATGAGGGAGTAAAAGAGGTTCTGTGTAAGGGGCTTGGACACAGAGTAGGCATGTGTGAGCGTGTTAGATAGGAGTGAATGGAAACGAATGGTTTTTTGGGACCTGACAAGCTGCTGGAGTGTTAGCAGGATAATATTTTGTAAAGGGTTTCAACAAAATCAGTTAGCCAGACTTGAGTCCTGGAGGTGGGAAGTATAATGCCTGCACTTTAAAGGAGAGGTTTGGGATATTGGCTGTTTGAAGTGACATCTAAACTGTCATATCTTAGTGCCTCTGCAAAGACAGTGATTATGTGCTAATGATGGTGAAAGTGTTTCTCTCTTGGTCACCCTGCCTCAGTGGGAGGCTGTCAATGTGTTTCAGAATATAAGTGTACATACATATAGGGACTGCCAGAGAGCAAGCATAGTTTCTTTGTATAAAGGCAAAAGGGACAAAAGATTGAGTAATAATTATAGAGGAATAAGGACAGATTGAAGGAATTTGGCTATGATTTTTTATTTATCATCTGATTTCATTCATTTTTGGTCTACCTTAAGAATCGTACATCAATTATACTGTGATGAAGTTTCCGTAAGATTGGCCAAAAAGTAAATGAAAAAGAAAAATTTACTGAAAATGACATTTGGCAGCAAGGTGGCAGGTAGTGGCACTGGGAAAAGTTGTTCGGACACTTTTTACTGATAGAATAGTGTTAATTCCATTATGCTATGATCATAAATACTGTAATAAACCTTATCTTCATTCTCAAGTAAAATACAGTGGACCCCCGGATTACATAATTAATCCGTTCCAGAGAGAGTGACTTATCCCTAATTAATTTTCCCCATAAGAAATAATGGAAATCCAATTAATCCATTTCAGACACCAAAAGTATTAAAAAACATGTTTTCTACATGAAATATACATTTACCTTACCTACACAGAAAACAATGATACATGAAAAATAAAACAATAATAACATCACAATTACCTTTACTGAAGACATGGTGATGTATGGAAGACAGGAGGAGGGAAGAGGATGGAGGAGTTTACAATTGTTTGGAAGGGGAATCCCCTTCCATTAAGACTTCAGGTACCAAGTCCTTGTCCTGGGTTACTTCCCTTTTGTTTTTTAATGCCACTAGGGCCAGCTTGAGAGTCACTGGACCCCTGTC